TGTTTTTCTTTGAACACGGTTTGCCTCAAACCCAAGAAGCTTCTTCGAACAGCGAGGGATTATGAACAGATTTCCAGAAAACATTGCAGACTACAGGAACCATTTGCGCTTCAGTTTGAGAGGCACACAACACAAACTCATCCCCAACAGTTTGTGCCTGTCTTCAACAATGAAGAGACACAGGGCAGAAAACATCCTGCAGCGAAGGAGGCTCCACACCCATTTGCACTGCTCAGGGGACTCTGAGGACACAGGTAAACCTCCAAATGGCTTCAACGACTCTCTAAAACAGGGGTCTTCAAACTTGGCCCTTTTATGACTTGTGGACTTCAACTCCCAGAATTCCTCAGCCAGGCATACGTGCCTGGCTGAGGAATTCTGAGAGTTGAAGTCCACAAGTCATAAAAGGGCCACGTTTGACGACCCCTGCGCAGAATGCAAATGACCAGCTGTCTGCAAGGAATATAAATCTTTCCATTTCCCCATCATCCAGTCAGAGCTGAAGAAGCTTCTTGAATGAGAAGCAAAATGTCTTCAAAGAAAAACCAGAAAGTCCAGTTTTCTCCTGAAAAAAGCATCTTTGGGACAAAACTCTACTTCACATCAAGCCGTCTTTAGCCTGCTAAATTAGCTTTCTGGGTTGGGTGTGGCCCCAAATGAGGAAATGTAACGCTCTCAGCATATCTGGCCTGGAGAAAGGAAACCTTTCGTTTTTTTTGCTTCAGGCCACCCCTATCTTGGTCACCACATTATAAAGAAAGATGTCGAGACTCTGGGAAAAAGTGCAGAGAAGAGCAACTAAGACGATTAAGGGCCTTGAAAACTAAAATATATGAAGAATGGTTGCAGGAATTGGATATGGCTAGCCTAGAGAAAAGGAGTTGGTGATATGATAGCAGTTTTCTAATATTTGAGGGGCTGCCACAAAGAAGACAGGGGTCAACCTTATTCTCCAAAGCACCTGAGGGCAGGACAAGAAGCAACAGATGGAAATTAATCAAGGAGAGAAGCAACCTGGAATTAAGGAGCAATGTCCTAACAGTGATGACAATTAACCAGTGATACAATTTCTAGTTTTAAGATAAAAGAAACTGGACAACCACTTCTCTGAAATGGTATAGGGTCCCCTGCTTAAAATGAGGTTGGACTAGAAGACCTCCAAGGTCCCTTCCAGCTCTATTCTCTGGCCTAACCTATGGTAATAGGACTGTTGTAAACAAAGGAATGGGTGGAAAACCTTATCTGTGAATCCAAGTCCTCCCAGATGAAAGGTAAATTAAAATATATTGTACACACTGAAATTGTGGCATGTTCTATGCAGGCCTTAGGCAAAAGGTCCTAGGATGTCCATCTTTTATTTATTTGTAAAGTTTATTGGCCGTCGATCTTATCACAGGGTATAACTCTGGACGGCTTATAATCTTAAAAATATAAAAACTATGCAAAACCCAAAAAACAGAAAAATACACTATATTCATAGGCCGCATACTCTGAGATGGCATGGTGAGTCACTGCTGGAGTGCCAAGACCAGGGGTCTTCAAATGTGGCCCTTTTATGACTTGAGGACTTCAACTCCCAGAATTCCTCAGCCAGGCACGCTAGCTGAGGAATTCTGGGAATTGCAGTCCACAAGTCATAAAAAGGCCAAGTTTGAAGACCCCTAGCCAAGATCGTTGGACAGTGGACAGTTGCAGGGCAGAGACTCTCTGTACAGCTAGTCCTCGACTTACAGCCATTCATTTAGTGACCGTACAAAGTTACGATGACACTGAAAGAGGGTCAGGAGCGGTCCTTGCGTTTACAACCATAGCAGCATCTCCAAGGTCACGTGACCAAAACTCAGGCACTTGGCAATCTGCATGTATTTACAAGGGTTGCAGCGTCCTGGGTTCCTGTGATCGCCACATGCAACCATCCCAGCCTGTTTCCGACATGCAAAATCAATGGGGGAAGCCAGATTCGCTTAACAACCACAGGATTCACTTTACAACTGCAGTGATTCATTTAATAACTGTGGCAAAAACAGTTGTAAAATGGGGTGCGACTCAACTGATAAGCACCTTGCTCAGTGGCTTTTTTGGGGCTTACAACATTAGCAGAAGCCTGGCGCTCTAGAATTAACCCCCTCCCCCACCCCAGAGTCGAGCAGTGTGCAACCAAAGAGAGAGAAAAAGTTTCAGCAAATTAGCTCTTCCCTTTTTTAAAAAGTCTTCTGTGGCAGAATCAAATGAAACAGCTTTGGGCCTCTCAGGGGTGGGGAAGGAGCAGGAAAGAGAAGGCAAAATGGTTGGGCCTTCATGGGTGGTGGTAGTTAATTTCCCAGTGTGTTTTTGAAGTCTTTTAACAGCTTTTCTTTTTGTTTTCAAAAAAGTAAGGCCTATTTTAGGGTTCGTAAATACAGCTGGGGGGGGGGGAAACGGGGGGGGGAGTGTTTTCAAAAGTTGGAAAAAGTTAAAGTCCTTTTCAGTTGCAGTCTTCTACCAGCATATTTAATTTATTTATATCCCATCTTTATTACTTTTACAAATGACTCAAGGCAGCAAACACATCTTCCTTCTCCTATTTTCCTCATAACAACAATCCTGTGAGGTGGGACGGGCTGAGAGATAGAGGGACTGGCCCAAAGTCACCTCAACTGGCTTTCCTGGCTAAGGTAGGACTGGAACTCACAATCTCCTGCTTTCTAGCCTGCAGCCTTAGCCATTAGACCAGTGGTTCTCAATCTTTTTAATGCCGCGACCCCTAACCGGTCGTAAGTCGAGGACTACTCAACCAGTCATAAGTCGAGGACTACTCAACTGGTGCAGCACCGTTTGCAGAATGGGACTTTTGGCGGGCTCAGCAGGGCAGAGACAGCCTGGACAATTCCTATTGGCTTTTGAAGGCCAATAGAATTAGACTCTATTCAAGAGAGTAGCACAGCTAAGGAAAAGGGGAAAAAAATGGCGGACTGCGTTGTTTGGCGACCCCTGTGAAATGGTCGTTCAACCCCAAATGGGGTCCTGACCCACAGGTTGAGAACCACTGCATTAGACCAAACCGGCTCTTGTATGGTTTTTATATTGTTTCTTGTGTTTCACCTAGTTTTTAATTACGGCCAGCTGCGCAGAATCATGAATTGGAGAGGGGTAGTCATGTCAATTGAAATAATAAACAAATAAATATAAAACAGTCTCCAGAAAGGGTGGGGAGACATGCCTGGACACTCCTACTTTATAGAGAGACACAGACTACGTACATGACAGTAGCCTTTTCCCAAGGAGAATGCTCTTAGTTGTTCTGAACCACAGCACCCATCGTTTGAGCTATCCGTATTTGTGGACCATGGGATCCGCACTCCAAAAAGCGGTTGGGAAAAGTTGGGACAGAGCTTGGAAGCTGCACATGGGAAGCGGTCCTATCCCAGAGCCAAGTTTTAAGGCAGTGTTAGTCAACCTCAATCACTTTAAAGGTGTGTGGACTTCAATTCCCAGAATTCCCCAGCCAGCTGTACTGGCTGGGGAATTCTGGGAATTGAAGTCCACAGGCTTTAAAGTGGCAGAGGTTGACATGATGTTTTGTAAGGCTTGGAGATGCTACAAGGCTGTCTGTGAGGGGAACCACAGGAATAAAAAACAGCCCTGAACAGTTTGCAAAGTCCAGGTCTTGTTCCAGCCACGAAACACATCTCCAATTTGGGAGACGAAAGCATAGATCCAGAGAGATCCAGAGACTGCTTTGATGTTCAAGGCTAGACAGTCTTGGATTGATCTCCTTGGGTGGGATAAAAAAATGCACTGACTTCTGAAAAATTAGATGGGGGTCACCGAAGGTATTTAATTAACCCTGGCCTTCGTCTGGAAAGGAAGAAAAAAATGTCCTATCACACCCGGGACAACTGAAGGGAAAGCAATGGGTTATCTGGGATGGGAAAAAAGGCCCAGCGATGCATGCAGAGTTTTTCCCCTTCCTTTTGCAGAAAATAGGGAATGTGTGAAACAGGAGCCTTGCACTTGCATTTGCTACACAGGACTAGCAGCACCGATAGATAATAATAATAATAATAATAATAATAATAATAATAATAATAATAATAATAATAAGAAGAAGAAGAAGAAGAAGAAGAAGAAGAAGAAGAAGAAGAAGAAGAAGAAGAAGAAGAAGAAGAAGAAGAAGAAGAAGAAGAAGAAGAAGAAGAGAAGAAGAAAGGGTAGTACAAATAGTAATAGGCGCCTTGGGTGCAATCCCAAAACAACTGGAGCCCCACTTGAACACCATTGGCATTGACAAATTTGCTATTAGTCAATTGCAAAAGGCGGCCTTACTAGGAACCACCTCCATCCTGCGACGAGATCTGTAATACCATCAAACATCCACATCTGCCTATCCCAGGTCCTTGGTAAGGACTCAATAGGTAGACAAAAATGCCAAATCCAGTCTGAACATCTGGTTGACTGTGCAAACAACAACAACAACAACAACAACAACAATAATAATAATAATAATAATAATAATAATAATGTTGGAAGGGACCTTGGAGGTCATCTAGTCCAACCCCTATTGACTTACAATAGTTCATTTAGTGGCCGCTGGCACTGAAAAAAGTGACTTACGACCATTTTTCACACTTAACAACCATTACAGCAGTGTGATGTGATCAAAATTCAGAGGCTTGGCAACCGACTCGTATTTATGACGGTTGCAGTGTCCCCGGGTCATGTGATCCTCCTTTGAGACCTTCTGACAAAGGGGAATCCAGATTCACTTTAACAACCCTGTTCCTAATTTAACAAGTGCCGTGATTCACTTTACAACTGTGGTTGGTAAAATGGGGCAAAACTCACTTAGCAACCGAAATTTGAGGCTCAATTTGTGGCCTTTTTAAGTCCGAGGACTACCTGGATTTCTCTGCGATGTCCCTGCAAGGCAAGGGCAGCGCGCACCAACGGGTAGAGCCCAGCCTTCCACCCGCCGGGCCAACCGGGCGGGAGGCGCTTCCTTTCCCCTGTCCCCAACTCACCATGGCAAAGCCGGAGAGCAGAGCCGAAGTGCGGCTGGAAGCTTTCAGCTTGGCCCGGCTGAGGTAAAGCCGCCGCCAGTTGAGGGCGTGCAGCGAGTGCTGGTTGGCACTCATCAGCTCCAGGTAACTTCGCCGGACGAACTCCCGGTAGGTGGCGGAGACGCCCAGCGGCTCCGAAGACTCGGGGTTCAGCGGCTCGCGTTCCCCTTCCGCGCCTTCGCCCTCCGGCGCCTCGGCTCCCCCGCCGGGTTTCATCGGAGCTGCAGAGGAAGGCGGGCGGGCGGCTGGCAAGCTCCGAGGGCGGCAGGCAGAGGCGCGCCCGCCTCTGCCCGCCGGGGCGAGCAAGCGGTCGCGGACCCCGGGGGGAAAGCGAGCCGCGCGCGGACAGGGAGAAGAGGCGAGGCGGTCCCCGGAGGCGCGCTCCGTCCGGGCGAGGCCAGAAGCGAATGCACGGAGGAGCGGGCAGGCGGGAGCGAACCGGGCGAGACCCCGAAGGATCGGGGCCGGCGGGGAAAAACAGGGAGATTCCGCCGAGGGAAGCGAAGCCCGGACACGGCGCGGCGCCGGAGCAAAAGTTGCGATTCGCGCACGGGCGGCTGCGCTGCTGGGTGGGGCGAGGGAGGGAGGGAGGGGAGGGAGGCCGGGGCGGGCGGGGAGAAGCCGCGGGGCGTTTGCTTCCAGGCTTAAAGGGGAAGCGGCGAGAAAAAGAGGCGGCGGCGGCGGCGGCATCTCCGCTGGGATGCGGGGAATCTGTCGCTCCGCTCCAGCGCTGGTAGCTGGAAATGGGCGAAGTGCGGGCGATGAGCAACATGTGAATGCTCCAACACTGGAAGTTTTTAAGAAGAGATGATAGATAGGTAGGTAGGTAGGGAGGTAGGTAGGTAGGTAGGTAGGTAGATAGATAGATAGATAGATAGATAGATAGATAGATAGATAGATAGATAGATAGACAGACAGACAGACAGACAGACAGACAGACTTTATTGTCATTTTTTTACTGTGGGCACCATGGCACACATTAAAAATAAAATTTAGTTGCTCTCAAAATGTGCACATACATAACACACATTTAAACATACTATATACAACATATGTATAAGCAACATATAAATATTAATCACTGTCCATCTTGAATACATAACGGAAGGAGGAAACTTTAGAGTTTACCAGGTTAATAGTGTATGGAACAAAACTGTGACTGGACAGCCATTTGTCTGAAATGGTACAGGGTTTCCTGCCTGAGCAGGGGGTTGGACTAGATGACCTCCAAGGTACCTTCCAGCATTACTACTATTACTACTACTACTACTACTACTACTACTACTACTACTACTACTACTACTATTATTATTATTATTATTATTATTATTATTACTGTTGTTGTTATGTTTGACCGGAAGGCTGAGCAGGTGGGAGCTTGGTGGGGGACTTGGACAGGAGACCACCAGACTATCCCAGGGATGCCGGCCAGAGAAGTAAACAGCAAACCAGCCAAAACAAACAATCTGAGAGAAGGTAGTGCCAAACCACTTCTGAAGAGCATGACCAGAAAACTCCCGAGATTTTACACTTTGACTAAATAAAATGACAACGAGGGTGCTTACAAGGAGGTTGAGGGTTTGGTGAACTGGTGTAAGGAGAACAGCTTAGTTTTAAAGGCCAGAAAAACCAAGGAGATCATTGTCGGTTTCAGAAAAGGCAGGCACAGCCACACTCCTCTGTGCATTAATGATTCACCTGTGGAGATGTTGCCAGCATCAGATTACTGGGTGTGCAGTTAACAAGTAGGCTGGCTTGGTCACTCAACAGTGAAGCGGGCACAGCAGTGCCTGCATTTTCTGCGCCGCATGAGAAAAGCACATCTTCCTTCCCCTGTCCTGACCACTTTCTACAGGGGGACGATCGAGAGCATCCTGTCATACAGCATCACAGTCTGGTTTGGAAGCAGTCACAGTTTTGTTCCATACAGCAGAGGTCCCCAACCTTTTGGGCACCAGGGACCAGTTACCTGGAGAGAGGTTTTTCCGCGGACCGGAAGGTGCGTGGTTTTGTGTGCTGCCTGCATCCCACGAATGGGGCTTTGCTTGTTTGTGCGGACCGGTTGCTGGCATGCCGCAGCCCGGTACTGGTCCACGGACCGGGGGTTGGTGACCTCTGTCATATAGTATTGACCTTGTGAACTCTATAAAGCTTCCTCCTTCCGTTAGGACGCAGCAAAGGGAGGAGCTCCGCCCAGAAAGCTTTTCAGCTCCTCGGAGAACACTGTGAGTGCACTCTCTTTTACACATACACACACACACACACACACACACACACACACACACACACACACACCACCGAGAGAGAGAGAGAGAGAGAGAGAGAGAGAGAGAGAGAGAGAGAAAGAGAAGCAGGGAAGTGCAATTGCCTCTCTCTGTCTCTGTCTCTCTCTGCAAAGGCAGAGGAGGCTGGGAGCCACAGGGGAAGGCTCAAAGAGCCGCATGCGGCTCGGGAGCCACAGGTTGCCGACCTGTGCGTTAGGTATTCAAGATGGACAGTGATTAATATTTATATGTTACTTATATGTAAGAGTGTAGTAGGTCTATACATATGTTATATACAGTATGTTTAAATGTGTGTTATGTATGTTTACACTTTGAGAGCAAGCAACTAAATTTCATTTTTAAAGTGTGCCATTGTGCCCACAGTAAAAAAAAAATGACAATAAAGGTTGTCTGTCTGTCTACCTACCTAACTATCTACCTAAAAGCAGGAGATCTGCTAGATCCAAGTGCATCAGGGCTGAGTGGTAACTTTCCCAGTGCTCTTAGAATTAGGAGAGCTGTAGTGCATGCACACACACATACACACTACATTCCAATTGCAAACTGCAAATGCAGATGTACTCAGAAGTAGCCCCCCCCCCAGTCCAGTAAGGATTGCTCTGAAGGGACAATAGGAATGCAGACATGATTTTTCAACTTGCCTACCGCATTTCAGAGGCAGCAGAACAGAGATTAATTAGTTAACAGTTAATCATATGAGAGATTTATTCTAAAATGGGTACACAGACATGTACAATGTGGATTTTAAAGGGCAAAGCACCTGCTTGAATTCTTTGTGGGTATTAACCCTGGCAAATTTAAGAACTCCCCAGCCAGCATGTAAGTGGGGCAGCAACAAAGTTTTTTTTTCTTGGATATTTCAGCATGGCTGATCACTGGTGGTCTCCTTTCCAAGGATGATGATTGATGATGATGATAATAATAATAATAATAATAATAATAATGTTGGAAGGGACCTTGGAGGTCATCTAGTCCAACCCCCTGCTCAGGCAGGAAACCCTATACCATTTCGGACAAATGGCTGTCCAGTCTCTTCTTAAAAACTTCAGTGTTGGAGCATTCACAGCTTCTGGAGCCAGGTTGTTCCACTGGTTAATTGTTCTAACTGTCAGGAAGTTTCTCCTTAGTTCTAGGTTGCTTCTCTCCTTGATTAGTTTCCATCCGTTGCTTCTTGTCCTGCCTTCAAGCGCTTTGGAGAATAGCCTGACTCCCTCTTCTTTGTGGCAGCCCCTGAGATATTGGAACACTGCTATCATGTCATCCCTCGTCCTTCTCTTCATTAAACTAGACATACCTAAATTCCAGCAACCATTCCTTATATGTTTTAGCTTCCAGTCCCCTAATCATCTTTGTTGCTCTTCTCTGTACTCTTTCTAGAGTCTCAACATTTTTTTTACATCGTGGTGACCAAAACTGCATGCAGTATTCCAAGTGTGGCCTTACCAAGGCATTGTAAAGTGGTATTAGCACTTCATGTAATCTTGATTCTATCCCTCTGTTAATGCAGCCCAGCACTGTGTTGGCTTTTTTGGCAGCTGCAGCACACTGCTAGCTCATATTTAGGTGATTGTCCAATAGGACTCCGAGATCCCTCTCACAGTTGCTACTGTTGAGCAAAGTACCACTTATGCTATACCTGTACATTTGGATCATCAGTCCATGGCCAAGTGTTGAAATATCTTACAACTAGAAGTGCGGACAGTGTTTCAAGATGAAAACTTCCTAGTTATGAAAAGTTTCCAACTTGAAACGGTCCTGTTCTCAGAACAGTTTTTTTCCAAGATTGCAGGGGACTGAACTTCAGTTTGGGAACTGAACTGCATCAGCCATCAAGTGGCGGAGGCACCAGACTAGAAACCAGGAGGCTATGAGTTCTAGTTCTGCCTTAGGCATGAAAACTCAGCTGGTTGACTTTGGGCTAATTACCGGAAGACTGTGAGTTCTAGTCCCGCTTTAGTCACGTAAGCCTGCTGGGAGATTTTGAGCCAGTCGGTTTTTTTTTTTCAGCCCACCCACCTCACAGGGTTGCTGTTATGGGGGAAATAGGAGGAAGAGGTGTTGGATATTATTGCTGCCTTGAATTATTTGTAAAAATAATAAAGGTGGGGTGTAAATAAATAAAATAAACCTGGAAACCTCCTGCACACCCAAATTAAAATCTTTCCTCCTTCTCCTTGGGCTTCCTTGTGACCTCCACTCGAATTCTGAGGTGGCTGTTTTTTTGTTTTTGTAGCTGGAGATCAGTTTGTAGAATCCTGTGTCTCATCTCCTGTCATGGGAATCCACCCTCGGGGTCGAAAAAAGCACGTTTCTCTGCCACTTCAGTGTTTTATGCAGCCATTGTTATTTAAATTGTGATTTGACCTTGTTATTTAAACCAGGCCAATGTGGGAAGCCAATCTGGGAGAGAAGAAAGAACTAGAAAGAGCAAATGAATGGAGCAGGAGGGTAACAAACTAAAAGATTTTTCAGTGAAATGGAAGAGTGTCTCTGTGCAAGGAGTGAAACGAGATAAGTCAACAGCTTTTAAAATTGTGTGTGTGTGTGTGAGAGAGAGAGTGAATTCAACAGAGTGAAACTTGAAAAGAGGGCAGATCAAATTCAAACTGTGACTGTCCCCTGTGGCAGACATGGGAACTGCAGGGAACTTTGAAGAAGCTGCCACCCACAGGAAAAGTGAACACTTGCCATGTTTTTCCCCAGTTTAAGCAGCTTCTAATGAATTTCACACCTTGTCTTGTATGTTCAGTAGACAGGTATGAGCAATCTATCAGAATGGTAGATACAGGCTGCCTTGCCTAAACTGTCAGAGCAGAGAGAAACAGATGTTATTGTAGAAACAGTTCCCCTCCCATGCCATCACTCTGCTAAGCAACTAGTAATTCCCACAACACTATCTTATGCCATGGGATGTCAAATTACTAGTAGGGCTGTATTACTATCCTTCTCATCTTTCCTATTACCTATTTTCTTAGCTTCTTATGACTATAACTTTGCTGTTTGTATTTTATGATTTATGTTGATTGCTTTTATTAGTATTCTGCTATGATTTATGTCGATTGCTTATTTAGTATCCTGTAACTATCACGGAGTGTTGTATCTTATGATTTATGATGATTGTATTTTATAATCATGATTTATCATTTGTTACTTGTATGTACACTGATAGCTTATGCATTGGAGACAAATTCTTTGTGTGTCCAATCACACTTGGCCAATAAAGAATTCTATTCTATTCTGTTCTGTTGTTCTATTTTATCCTATCCTACCCTACCCTACCCTACCCTACCCTACCCTACCCTACCCTACCCTACCCTACCCTATCCTATGTCAAGTCCACACCTACAACTTCTTAACATAAGGGGGGGGGAGAATAGTGAAATTCATTTTTTACACAGTATATATCCTCTATGAAGTTTTAAACTTATAAGAACACCAGGAGACAGCATGTGACTGGTCTCCTTCTACTATTGGGACTCGTCAGGTGTATACAAGCAGATTTGAGGATTTGAGCCTTAGAGAAAGATTTGGCTAGTTTTGAGTCTGATGAGTCCCAATATAAAGCTGGAACTAGATATTTGCTGCCCCCTGGTGGTCGTTTAGGACATCAGCTCTCATCCAGGTGGGCACCAACCACTCAAGCACTGGACAGTATTTATTGATCAAGCTATAATCTCATCTTTCATTCAGAAGCCTAAAGTAGCATATATACAGCTCTTTCCTCCTGTTTTCTTGCTGAACAACAACCAAAGAATATGGTTGGGCTGAGAATGACTGATGCATGGTGGAGGGTGGACTCCGGTCTCCTGACTCCTGACTCACCCCACCCCTCAACCATACTGGCTTTCATCTGGCTCCAATGCCAGCTAGGAGATCCATAAAGTTACCGAATCTTTCCTGCACCTATTGGTCCTGTTGATTGTTCAAGTTTGATGATGACCAATGTGTCTTGAAGAACTGGGTTGAGGAGAAGATAGTCTACACAGAAGAAAACCAATGGCTACCTTAAGAGCGATCCGAATTTGAGCAAAGGAACCACGAGTCTTGCAGTATTATAAAAAGTAATACATTCCTTCTGATATAATGCATCTGATTGCCATCAACTCAGCCAGAAATATAGGGTGGGCTCCTGAGATATCTCAGTCAGACTAATATTCAAGCAATGGATTAAATGAACAGCCTTCTGCAAAAATTAGGCCTCCATAAATGTGCTTTGCCTCAAGAGACCCACCTGATTCCTGATTGTTTTTCCTAGCACTCAGAAACCTCACCAGAAAATTTGGAAAGTCACAACTGGACATGGGGTGTAACTTCAACCATTACTCATGAAAATAGGTGCATGATGGAGGAGTGTCAACGCTGCTAACATCGGATGTTTTTGCATTGACAACATAGGGAAACGTAGCCATCTTTTACCTTTTGCTTTTAGAGTTAGATGATGCTGGGAAGGGGAATGTGGAGGAGAGTCCAGCTAGACATAACAACACTAAACCTAGCATGAGAAACAAGGTTATTGTAACCAGAGCTGATAAGGAATTGGCAGCTGGAGAAATGGAGAGGGGGTCTGAGCTTCACGCTAATTGGGGAATGTGATTTATGACTGTAAATTGAAGGAGGGAATTGTGCTTTGATATGTGCTCAGGGGAGGGGAATTCAGTTTTTGGCTTCGATTATGCAGTACCAATATTATGCTACTCAAAATAAAGATTCTTTAAGGTAAACAATGCCTCGAAGTTCTTTTGAAGAGTTTCATCTGTCAGAACCATGACCTTAGGAACAGAGGCAACTGCCTCCATGACAACAAGACCTTTGTGTCCATTAAGCTCAATATTGTCCAGATAGGAAGATGGCATCTTGGCAAGATTTCAGAAGTGCCCAAACTGCAACCCAAAACCCACTTATTTATCGCCGGGTGCCAGGTGGACATGGCCCACTAGGTGGGCGTGGCTGTGGTGGTCATGGCAGAATGGGTGGGTGTGGCCAAGGTGGGCGTGGTCACCTCGATGTTCCTTATGGGCAGGGACTCCTGTGGGGGCCAGACAGGGTTGGGGGAGATTCAGGGGGTCTCTGGTGGGTGGGACAGTGGGCAAGAGGCTCGTCCTGCAGGGTGAGGGGAGGCGAGGCAGGGCAGGGGTGCCATTGTCACAGGGCAAGGTGATGCAGAGGCCAGGGTGGCTGCTGCCTGATACCATCGGCCCCCGCACACAGAGGCCAGCGAGTGCATGGAGGCCAACGGTGTCTGTCAGCAGCCACAGCCTGCTGGCCCAACTGGCGCACTCTAGGGCTCCGCAGCCCACTGCCAGCAGTTCAGAGAAGCTGCCTCTGAGCTCGATGGCCAGCCAACAGCTGAGGAGGCAATGCAGTGGGTCGTGCCAGGAAAAGGAGAGCATGCGAGACCAGGAGGGATGGGACGCGGGGGGGAGGGAAACCAGCCATGCTGGGATGCATCTGGCCATGTGGGACCTCAGTGAATTAGCGGCCGGCTGCTTGAAGAGTAATGGTTGCCATCTCCAGGACATGGCGCGAGTGCCCACAGAGAGGGCTCTGAGTGCCGCCTCTGGCACCCGTGCCATAGGTTCACTATCACTGCCTTATACCATCCTGGACAAAAGGCTGTCCAATCAATCAATCAACTAAGAATCAATACATCCAGTTTTGGTCACCACATTACAAAGAAGATACTGAGACTTTGGAAAAAGTGCAGAGCAGAGCAACTAAGAGGATTAAAAGCCTGAAGACTAAAACATATGAAGAACAGTTGCAGGGTTTGGGTTTGACCAGTCTAGAGAAAAGAAAGACTAGGGGTGACAATAGCAGTATTCTGGTATTTGAGGGGCTGCCACAAAGAAAAGGAGGGGGGTCAATTTATTTTCCAAAGCACCAGAGGGAAGGACAAGAAACAACAGATGGAAACTAATCAAGGAGAGAAGCAACCTGGAATTAAGGGGAAACTTCCTAACAGTGAGAACAATTAACCAATGGAACAGCTTTGCCTTCAAAAGTTGTGGGTGCTTCATCACTGGAGGTTTTTATCATAAGAGTCTAGACAGCCATTTGTCTGAAATGGTATAGGGTCTCCTGCTTGAGCAGGGGGCTGGACTAGAAGACCTCCAAGGTCCCTTCCAGCTCTATTCTATTCTAAAAATACAAGCCAGTTTCTGCTAAGACTTATAGAGGTGGATGGTAGTGAAACACTTCAAGCTGGGTTTTGCTAATTCCACTTTCAGTTGAGCTTCAGACTCTGGATAAGAGACATTCACATTAGAACTCTTTCATTCATTCTTTGGACCGAGTGCTGGGACAAAAATGAACATGATCAGAAACTGGCCTCCATATGAACAAGCCAGGACTTTTCATTTTCCACTAAGGCAGTGTTTCCCAAACTTGACAATTTTAAGGCATGTGGACTTCAACTCCCAGAATTCCACAGCCAGCGTTGCTGGCTGTGGAATTCTGGGAGTTGAAGTCCTCATGCATTAAAATTGTCAAGTTTGGGAAACACTGCACTAAGGTCTCGGCTAATTCAATGTAGAGGCAACGTAGACAAGTGAAAATGTCAAAATAGTTTTTGTGTCCTTTGGGGAACCTAGTGAGATCTTTGGATCCTCAAGACATTTTAATTTATTTATGGGACCAAATGACAAACGACATGGAGGGTGTCGCAGGTACACAATCTAATCAAGTCTGTAAGACTGGTTAAATTTTCTTAACTATGAACTAGCTGATTGCAGCCTGGGGATAGCAAATCCTGTGGTTATTCCTTTTTGATTCGCTGTTATGACAATCCAGAACATCAGGCTTGATGCAATCATGATTAATATGTGGGTAGGCTAATCATAGAAACACATCCAGTGTGTAGAACTAAGCCCAAAGAGAGGGGCGCTTCTAATTGTTCCTAAAATGAATTAAGCTACACTGCAGTAGCAGCTGTCATCCTAACCCAGGGGTAGGCAACCTTGGCTCTTTTATGACTTGTGGACTTCAGCTCCCAGAATTCCTGAGCCAGCTGTGAGAGTTGAAGTCCATGAGTCATAAAAGAGCCAAGGCTGCCTACCCCTGTCCTAACCAATCCTCAGAAGGCAGTTGTGAGAAAAGGAACAATGGAAGGAGGCTTTGTCCATTATCCTTTGCTCTTTTCAAGATGAACACTTAATCTAAAACAAGGGCTGGTATCTTACTGGTTCCCTTGCCCCCCGTCTTTTGAATTTCCCTTGGGAAGTGCCTAATTTTGGTGCAGATATAATATGGAGGATGCTAGAACCTCTTTATCTCATGTTGTGATTCTTACTGCAAATGACAACCATTACACAATTCTAACAGAGCCCCTCCCCTAAAGAATTGGGGCACTGATCCACACCTAAGGCTTTCCTTCCATTTTAATTTTGATTAAAGTTACCCCTTGTACCATCCGCCCCAAACCAGACCCCTCAAGGCAGTATACTAACAATAACAGAAACGGAAAACAAAATAAAACCTTTTGAAAAAACCAAAAGAAGAGTTTATAAAAAAATATTTCCAGAAAATATAAAATAGAAACCCATCGAAAATTAAAAAAAGAAAATAATAATTAACATTCCCCCCCCCAAAACATACTTTTTTTTTATTCACAACATTTCTTTTGCAAGGAGATAGAACTGAATATGTTTGAACGTGCATGATGTGTGTGTAAAGGAGGGGGGGAGGGAATAATGAAAAACAGACTTTTAAGATCCAAACACTTTCGTTTTTTTGATTTTTTTTTTGTTTATATAGCAAACAGTTATTATACAATAATAGAACCCCTGAAATTCAGATTGGAACCTGGTCTCACATCCCCCTCCCTCCCCACCTGTAGAGTCCCAAGGGGCTGGGATGGAGATGTGCAGATCAAACATCACGGAGATGCATCGCTCCAAAAAACTGGATTTTTACATTTTTATTTCACCCCTTTCTTGCTTTCTTTCCCATCCCCAGCAGTCTTTGTCTCAATTTCTAGGTGAGGAGCAATCCGAGTCTATTGAAGATTAAAGTTGTAGCTGGAGGATAAAACAATTAATTGGTGGGAGATGGTGGTGGTGGAAATATAGCTTTGGTCCACTGAGTTGGGAAGATGCCTGGGCGTGTATGTGCGTGTGTTTCTGTGGATCTGGGAGACCTATGGAATAGCTCAGCCTTACCCAACTTGATCATCTCTAAGGGACGGTGGACCACCACTCCTACCACTTGCAGCCAACAAACATGCTGGTTGAAAACACCGGGACATAGACTCCAACACATCTGAGATTCAAGGTTGGTGGAGTCTTGGAATACTTTCTGAAGCTACATCTGGGAGTAGGAGAGACACCGAACACGTTTCTCCATATTCCTTTTCCATTGGGATTGAGAGACGGGCCTGCACACACTGTTGCAGGCGCCTGTCTTTGGAGTGATAATGGGTGAGGAAAACTGAGGTGAGGGCTCGGGCGATGGAAGGGTGGGCGATCACTTGTGTCCATCTCTACCCAGCACTGAGCCATGGATGCCTCTCCACACTAGTCCAGTGGGCTTCCCGCCCAACATGTGCAGTCCCTAAAGCAGCCATCTAGAGCAGGAGAGAGCAACTATGGCCCCTTTACCACCCGCGGACTTCAACTCCCAGATTTCCTGAGCCAACATGGCCGGCTCAGGAATTCTGGAAGTTGAAGTTCATGGGTCGTAAAAGGGCCATAACTGCCCACCCCTGCTCCAGAGTAATGCAACCTTGGGATGACATTCCCACGTTTTCCCTCTCACTCTTCACCGTTTCTTTTTAAACCTGAGGTATTTTTCTTTTCTTTTCTTTTTTTTTTTCAAGAGTTAAACATCCATTTAAAAAAAAAACAATGGTAAAAAAATAAACAAACCTCAAAAGATATGCTTGAAAAGAGCACCTCCCTTGGCTGCTGCCATGCTCTTTTGAGAAGGAGACGCTGACGATGGGAGAGTCACCGTGGCAGAACACATACCCCCCGCCACAAATATCTGAAGCTAGATGGCTCTTCCCTCGTAGTGTATACATTTCCTTTCACACGAAGGAGAAATGAAGAGTGGAGGCCCCAAATCAACAAGGAGGCTGGCTGCGTGGAATGAAACCTACTTTCCTTGTTTGCACCATGGAGTGTAGGAATGGGACGGGGGGGGGGCAGGACCACTAAACTGAGGGCAGGCCATACAGTACATATTTATGCTGTGCCGTAAGATCTGGAAGAGGCCCACTGACACCTTCCCTCAAATATACAATATTTCCACCCAAACGTAGCCCCAAAGCCTCCACTCCTCAAAATTGTTTAATACTTGCTCTGTAAGAGTTGTGAGTAAAGGAGAGAACTTCTAGGCAGAAGAAGGGGAAAAAAAAAAACCCTCCAGAAATGGAGGTGGAGGAGGAAAAGTTGATACCTTGGCCCTCTTTGGTTAATGGAGTGAGAGGGAAGGACTTTGTTGAATCAGACAAATGAAAAATAAAAAATAAAAAAATAAAAAAGTAACAACGAAACCAATTTTCTTAAAATAATAAAAAAAGCACCCAACAGAACCGTAAAAATAATAATAAAAAAAAACACAACCCAACACCGAAAACCTCGCCTCCGATTCCACAAGCTATCGCTGCGTTTTTTTTTCAAGTAATGCTTTAGTAATAAATGAACGTTCAAGTATATATTAAAAGAAAAAAAAAAATTAGATACGTGACCAAATTGAAAAATCAGTCTTGTGCCATCCTCCCCTCCCCAACGCGCACAGGAAGGTCGTGCGTATCTGATGCCATCTGAAAACCCAGATGAAGCACAGGGTGGAGGAGGATGGCGGGCAGGGTGAGGGAGGAAAAAGGAAAGAGAGAGAGAAAGAGAGGAAAGGGAAGGAAGAGAAGAGGGAGGGAGGGAAAAAAAAAGAAGGGCTTCTGAAAAAACCGTTCAAGCCAAGAGAGGGTTAGGTTTCTGGGCTGGACGAACAATTTGTTTGCTGCACTTCTTCCCCAGTCCAGTCCAGACGGTTTCTCGCAAGACGATAAGACAGCAAAATAATAATAATAATAATGGGATGGTGGGAAAGACAGAGATGGGAGAGAAGGAATGAAAGAGTGAAAGAGAAATGGACAGAATTGGGCACCTTTAAGAGAGAGCGAGTCCCCCACCCGACCCCGAAGACGAACGTGGCCAAAGGGACGGAGAGCAGCATTCAGCACGTGCTCCCGCCTCCGAGCAGAAGGAGCAAAAAACGACCGACAGCAGGCCCAGCGGTCAGTCCAGGACATTCGTTTTGCACCACTTTTCTTTTCTACAGTATTTCTCTCCCCCCCCCACCTTTCAAAGAAAACAGAGGGGGGGGCGGGGGGAATCCCACATGCACACATACCCAAGTATACACACACACACGCATACCCGAACAGTTGGACGGGGGTTCAAGTTTGAGATTCGGAGGCAGCGCAGAGCGGCTGGAATTAAGAGAAAGCCCGGCCGACTCCTGCTCAATAACAGTTGGCACTGTGGGCAAGGAACGCAGGCAGCCCCCTGCTCCCCCTGTCCCCAAAGTGGTTATTAAAGCTTATGGTACAAAAAAAGAAAAGAATAAAAACTGAGAAAGGAGGGGGAAGATCGGAGGGGGAAGCTGCGAGGGCTTTCCTGTCCAGAGTTGAAAAGGAGGAATTCGAAGAGAGGAGAAACAGGAAGGAAGGAAGGAAGGAAGGAAGGAAGGAAGGAAGGAAGGCTGGCTCTGGGGAGAAGTGCCTTGGGTTGAAAAGAGCTGCATGATCTGACTAGCCTGCCAAGATGGGATGAAAACAGCCTGGGAGGGAATTTCCTCCGGGAACAGCCCAGGGACCCGACAGAATACTGTAGACTTGTGTTTTTCAGCCTAGGCAACTTTTAAGGTCTGTGGACTTCAATTCCCAGAATTCATGCTGGCTGGGGAATTCTGGGAGTTGAAGTCCACACATCTTAATAGTTGAGAAGCAATGTGCTAGGAAGATGCGTTTCCCGAGAGCTGAGGGGGCTTGGAGGGAGAGAAGAGGGGACTTTTAAGGCCTTTCCTCCCCGAAGGATCCCAACACACAACAAGTGAGACAGGAGGTTTAGTGTCGTCCTTTCACGTATGCTAGTGTACTCCTTTCTTTTGGACAAAAGTATTCGGCCTCGTCCCTCTGCTCCACGAACAAAACTCTTGTTTCCCCACCTGCAGACCACACTGGCCAAAAGCAGCAGAGACGCACACTGACATATGGGTGGGGTGAAAGTAATCTGGCTAAGGAGCAGAGGCCTAAAGCTTGGTGAGGGACTCCGTCCATGTGTGTGGCTTGCAAGAGCATGCATATGCAGGTTTAATGCATAAACAAGACAGCAGCAGGTACGCTGTGTGTACGGAACACAGCGCATGTGTTTCACGGTGTGGGCATCCAGTGAGCTCCTGTGGATGCAGCTGTGGTGGGGCTGCATCCACAGGAGGCCTCAGATGCACGCTGGAATTGGCAGCTTGAGAAGAAAATCTAAAGGGAAGGATGCCTATAGAGATGCTTTCTGGCCTCCTACTGATGGGTGAGGAGAGAATTAAGGGTACAAAGGGCCCCCGATGTAGGAAGCAGATCAGATGGGTGTGCCAGCAGATGTGCCAGCTCCAGAGAACATCCACTGCTATGGGAAAGAGAGAGCGGCAAGAGGCAGGAGAGAGCCCCAACAGGTACAGAGTGGGAAAAGACAGGGCAAAGGAATCTGGAAATCAGCTGCCTGGTTCTTGCTTGGCCCCCTTGGGAAAAAAAAAAAAAACACACACCGCAGATGCACAACTGGGGAGTGCCGTGGAAGGGAACTGGGCGGGCAGGCTGACAAGCACGCACATGCACGCACGCGCACGCACGCACCTTTTAAAACTCAACAAGGCAGCATGTGGGAGGGGAGGGAGGACCAATGAGGTTGGAGTGCACATTTGCATTGGGTGAGGAACGGGGCAGGAAAAACGTAATATATCCGACCCCATCAAAGAAGCTGCCTTCCTCCCGAGCCAGCATTTCAAGGCTGAATGTCAACTCCCCCCCGCTTCCCCCCCCCACTGCCCGCTGACCCGAGATAGCGGGGTGTACCAACGGTGGCACGGAGGGACATTTGGAGGTGGAGGTGGGGAGAAGGGGACGGCGCAGTGCATGGTGGGAGGAATACGCATTTCCCCAGCATTGTAAAGCGACAAGGCTACCTCGGACCCCACTTACTCCGCGGCTGTCCAAGAACAAGTGGATGGAGCAAAAGGCCACCCGGCCCTCTGTAGGCCAGGCCTGGGGAAGGGGGCACGACACCCCCTCTCCCGCACCCTCTTTGCTGCACAAGTAAGGGGGTGGAGATGCCACTCTGGTTCAGTGCATGGCTTTAAGTAAAAAGGTTCTCTCAGAGTCCGTGTCCGACGGTCGGATTGGTGAAGCTGAGTCTGTCTGCGCCTCCACCCCAGGGCGAGTATTAGCTGTCCTTCAGCAGCAATTTCTCCTCAGGGCAATGGAAAGGAGGTGAGGATGCGGGGGCGGGGGGCACGGCACCACTGTTGGAGACCGAGTCCTCGGCAAATCGAGCACAGGCCTCCGTCGTGATGTGGTGACAGGAGCGCAGGTCGATACGGGAGAGGCGTGGACAGCGGCGGAAAAGGGGCAGACACTGATCCGTCAGCCGGTTACATCCTACGCGGGAAGAAAGAAGGAACATCAATAACACTTGGACTTATATACCACCCCGCAGTGCTTTACATCACTCTCCTGGCGAGTTACAACAGTCCTCATTTTACCCACCTCGGAAGGATGGAAGGCTGAGTCAACCTTGAGCCTGTCAGGATCGAACTCCAAGCTGTGGGCAGAGTTTGCCTGCAATGCTCCCTTCTAACCACTGCACCACCAAGGCTCCTCCAGAACAGGAGACCACGAAATACCACTGTTTGGAGTCTGTTCTGAGATTGTGAGATAGCCCTGGTTGGTTCAGATCCTGCTGTGGAGAGATGGGGACTGGCTCGGGAGACCGGGCAGGAATTGGGGCTGTTTTTACAGGGGGAAAGACAATTCACCCCAACAAATTAATCACAGGCACATTCTTAGGAATGTAGATAATGGATGGCACTGGCGGGGGGGGACAATGTCATGTCCACTACCAGTAATCATCAACCCACGACCAAATTATGGTTGTAATTCATGGTGGTTGTTAAAGCAGATTTGTTCAACCACCATGTGATTTGCTTAATGAATGCCATAAAAATTACCATAAAATTGGGTCGGGCTTGACTTATGAGCGCAACAAGCTGGAGCGGAAGCTCCAGTCCCAATCGGGATCCCTAAATCAAAGACTACCAATGTTGTCCAAAGTCCCTATCTGGTAATGGGACCTGGACAAGGGGAGGCAGGAGGAAAACAAGGTGGCAAGGATGCCACGGAAGAAAAAGATACGAGAAACACTGGGACAGACATTCAATTTCCTAACCGCTACACCGCACTGTCCTTCTTTCAGGAGGCCGCATCATTTCAGTGCCCAATCCGGCCAGAAAGGTGGAATCGCCGGTAGAGATTTAACTCACCGGTGAGGTTGAGTTCAGCGAGGGTCTCTCGGAGTGGAGAATTAGCAGCGGTCAGCAGGTTAACAGACTGGTCACCTACATGGTTGCAGTGGCTCAGGTCCAGTTTGGCAAGCTGAGGGGTGTGCCGGATTACCAAGCGCAGAGAGGCATCTGTGATGTCCAGACCGGAGAGCCGTAATTCAGAGACGTTCTGCAGCCGGCCCCGGCTGTCTGTCTGGCCTGGCAGGGCGGGAAAAGAGAAGGGCCTGAGCCCCGTGGCACAAGCCAGGACCTCTGCCCTAAATGGCAGACGCACAACCCTGACAGGGTATTTAACAGCCGTGGCCAAAACAAGACACGTTTGTTTCACCGGAGTGACTTGGACCGTGGAGGCAGTCATGTTTTCTTTCCTGAAATGAAGATGCCACCTGGCTCTCCCCACCGGGCGTAATCAGGTGCGGAGAGCTCCTTGACAGAGTGGATCTGGGATGTTCCTCGGTGCCCATGAAGATCTGCAGTGCTCCCGACAGGCCTCCAGGCGAAGGGTCTCCAGGACACGATGCGTTTGCTGAGACTTCCCAGCCTGGAAGCACTCGACTCTCAGTGTAGGGAAGGGCGCTCTAAGCCAGGGGTCCCCAACCCTCGATCTGTGGACCGGCACCGATCTGCAGCATGCCAGAAACTGGGCTGCCCAAACAAGTGAAGCCCCATCCATGGGATGCAAGGAGCATGCAAAACCAGTCTCCCTCCGGTCCACGGGAAAACCTCCCTCCACGGAATGGGTCCCCGGTGCCCAAAAGGTTGGGGGCGGCTGCTCTGAGCCTTCTCCCACACCTTTCAGCCCTTGCTTCCCTACAAGGAAGGCCATGAAAGGAGATTTTCTGCCCTGCTGCCTCTCCCAGCCAGGGTGCAGGGTGAGTGGCATCCCCTATAGCAGTGGTTCTCAACCTGTGGGTCGGGACCCCATTTGGGGTCGAACGACCATTTCACGGGGGTCGCCAAACAATGCAGTCTGCCATTTTTTCCCCCTTTTCCTTAGCTGTGCTACTCCCTTTTATTCTATTGGCTTTTGAAAGCCAATAGAATAGACTCTCTGAATAGAGTCTAATTCTATTGGCTTTCAAAAGCCAATAGGAATTGTCCAGGCTGTCTCTGCCCTGCTGAGCCCGCCAAAAGTCCCATTCTGCAAACGGTGCTGCACCAGTTGAGTAGTTCTCGACTTACGACTGGTTGGGGGTCGCGGCATTAAAAAGGTTGAGAACCACTGCCCTATAGGCTGAGGGAACTTCAGGCGAACCACCTCTACCACTTGCAGTTTTAGCAGCCCAACCTTGACGGCTCCTTAGGGCAGTGGTGGCGAACCTATGGCACGCGTGCCAGAGGTAGCACTGAGAGCCCTCTCTGTTGGCACATGCGCCACCGCCGCTAACAGCAGGTCCATCAGGTCACCACTGCCGCTCGGAGCAGGAGCCCCGCCCAGCACAAAGGAGGTGAAGTAGGCGAGTAGAGGTGGTAGAGCAGAGGTCACCAACCATTGTCAATTGGTGGACTGGAAAAAAAGGGAGGGGGAAGCATTTTACATGCGTGCACGGGGCCACGAACATGCACATGCTGCAAAGGGGGCGGGGCTAGTGCCTGCATGATACTCACTAGCCATGCCCTGTTCTTGCATGGTGCAGCACCTTGTATCTGCACCCTGCGGCAGGCCGTTTTTGCGCCTTGCAGCACCGTGGCCCATTTTTGTGCCCCCAATTTTTGTGTGCCAGAGGCGGCACTCAGAGGTGCCACCCTGCCCCCCCCCAAGGGCACTACAATGCTGATAAATAAGTGGGTTTTGGGTTGCGGTTTGGGCACTCAGTCTCTAAAAGGCTCGCCATCACTGCCTTAGGGCATGGAACGGACTCTGGGCTTGGTGCCTCAAGCAAGCATGCAGCAGCATCTGCGGCTGTTCAGGTCTGGGACACCTCAGTTCACCTATCAAGAATCCCAACTGGGCTAGTCGGGCCTGCAATACACCCAAAGGTCCCGCCATGAGCTGAGAGATTTTTGAGGCACAATAGCTGGGGTGGAGATAGCAGGCAATCCTATGCTAGAAGTGATAAGTGCCAAGCCTTAGAGTGCAGAGAAGTGTCTTAGACTGGGCACTATTGTTATGTGAAAAAGACTTGGGCTTAGCAGCTCTGACACGCAGAGCAGAAAGGCCCAGCAACTGCACCAGAGCCCCACAGCGTGATAGATCAGAGGTTTGCAGGAGAATTGAAATAGGTTTTGTTTAAAGGAGAAACATCATGGCGGCGAGATCTGTACATCTGTGGGCTTTCCATCCCTAGAGCTATTTAAGAAGAAGCAGGACAAAACACTTCCCATGATTGGTTTAACTGGTTCACCTGCATGTCGTAGAGCAGAGATCTCCACCCAGGCTGGCTGAGGAATTCTGGGAGTTGAAGTCCACAAGTCTTAAAGTTGCCAAGGTTGGGGACCTCTATTGTAAAGGACTTCACTAGATGATCCCAGTCATTCCTTCTGATTATACGGAGATGACCAGGCTAAGGAGATGACCAGGCTAAGCCCGAGGCAGGAGTCAAACGCGCCATCAGTCATGAGTCCCTACATGCCCACAAGAGATCTAAGCCCGGCCCACTGTGAATTCCTCATTTACTACCAAATTGCTTTAGCCGTTAGTAGTTCAGATTCTTCTAGAGAGCTTAAACCTGTAATAAATCTTTATGCCCATTTGAACTGCCTGGATCGCCTGATTTCCCTGGTGCTTAACAACACCCAACGAAGTAACACAAAGGCCCACATAACACTCTTAATTGTAACCTGCACCCTGTGGGCTGCGCTGTGCGACAGGAGAGGTTAAAATGGGAATGGCTGATTTGAAACTCAGTGCGCTGTTTGAATATAGCCCAGGTTGGCCAACTCAGAGCAGGCGTCGACCATTAGCCTGCCTGCGTTAATGGCTTTTAAAGATCGGCAAAGCCTTGAGAGATTTCATGCGGCAACGGCAACGTCCCACAAGATTTCAGCCGTTCTTAACATCTACCGTACTTTCCGGCGTATAAGACGACTTTTGAAAGCGTTGAAATCGGCGCCGAAGTCGGGGGTCGTCTTATACGCCAGGTTGCCTTATACGCTGCAGTATACGGTAGGTGTGTTATGGCACTTCTTTACTATGAGGAAAGGAAAAGGAAAGGGTGCCGGAGGGGACGTACGGAGTGCTCTGCAGGTTTTGGGAAGAAAAGATGGTTAAAACCGGCCCAGATCTCTGCCCTAGAGACTTTTCCCTCCAAGTAGAGGTAGCTTTACCAGGCTTGGCATCTGTGGCAGGCAAGAGCAGTTCGCGGAGGTGAGAGTCCTTGACATCCTCAATCCAGCGCAAATCTAGGAGCTGTAGGGAGGGGAAGTTGGCTGTGCTGAGGGCCGACACAGAGCACCAAGAGCAGCCTGTTAGGATGAGCTCCTTAAGGCCTGTTTGGGAGAAGAGAATGTTAAGTGGGGAAAAGCAAACCTCACACACAAGCTGCTCCTCTCTGCTTCTAAAGAGGTCCATGACTCCTTCCTCTGTATTCCCACCATGATCTCACTTTTCTACCCCAAAGCTTTGACTTCTGCCTCCCAGGTCACATCTGTTTCCTTCCTTCGCTCTCTTGTGGGCTGGTCCTTTCCTTTTCCGCAAAAAGCAAGATGGCTTCTCCGCGTTGGCTCCTATCCTCAAATTCCAACCCTTCCCACAACTGAGCTGGTTGAGTGTCAAGGCCAAGTTCTCGGCCACGTGCCACATCCCTGCCTCCGCTTGAGGATGCAAGTGGGGAGGGAGGGGGGGAAATAACAGGATTCAGAGCTATGCCTTATAAAACCTTCCCTGCCCACACAGAAAGCTTAAGCTTGTTGATTGTGGTTTTAGCCATGTGCAGAAAAGCAGCAGCATTGTCTTTGATCATCACCACCTGTCGTTTGAATTAGGGCACCCAGTGTCATCACTGCAGTGGAAATTAGCCTGGCGCAGGTCCTCTGCTTCTTGAATTTTTTTCAAATTAAGAATTTCCTGTGCCCTGAAATTCTGGCTATCTGTCCCTTGTCTTTTGCTTAGACCAGGGGTAGGCAACCTTGGCTCTTTTATGACTCGTGGACTTCAACTCCCAGAATTCCTGAGCCAGCATGGCTCAGCTTGGAAACCTCTCCCTTTCCCCTCAGCACGGCTGGCTCAGGAATTCTGGGAGTTGAAGTCCACGAGTCATAAAAGAGCCAAGGTTGCCTACCCCTGGCTTAGACCGTTCAATTACCTTGTCTACATCTAGATTGACACAAAGTGTGGGGTCCTCAGACCACAAAAAAAAATCTCACTCCACAATGCCCCAATTCCCTAAGGGGGTTAAGCCAATGTAAAGAGAGGGAGCCTTGAGGACTTTGTTCAGATTTAAGCAAAGGCCCTGGATTCACTTTTCCTTAAATAAATATGCAGAGTTGAACACTCCGGAATAACCTTTGGGATTCCCACTTCTTGATTCGAACACACCCTTGTTCCAAATGGAATTCAAATCTGCTGAGAGTTGGCTTCGCTATAGCTAGTCCTCGACTTACGACCACAAAATTTCTGTTGCTAAGCGAGACGTTCGCTAAGCGAATGTTGCCCCATTTTACAACCTTTCCGGCCACAGTTGTTAAGTGAATCACCGCAGCTGTTCAGTTAGTAACAAGTTTGTTAAGTAAATCTGGCTTCCCCACTCACTTTGCTTGATCATCGCACAATGGTTGTGAGAAAAAAAACGGCCGAACATCGCTTTTTCCGGTGCCGTTGTATCTTTAAACGGTCACTAAACAAATGGTTCTGAGTCGAAGGATTTCCTGTAGTGATTTTTGGCTACTTTTTTTTTTTTTTTAATGAATGGGTTCTTGTCTCCGGGTGGTCTTTGGGAGTTTTGTACAATTGTCAAACCCTTTAAACAACTGGATTTGGAAATAAAATACAAGCGCTCGAAATAAGTAAGCTGTGGCTACCAGTTAATCTCTCTCTCCTAAGCCCCCCCCCCGCCTTCCCCGATCCCAATCCATTCCCCAAATACCTTGCAACCTATTCAGGAGCCACATTAGCTGCTTCTTGGAGATGCTGGTCCAGCTCAGATCCAGACTGGCTGGCTGTCGTCGGATGATTCCGCTCAGCATGGAGGGAGTGATTGACTTCCGATGGCTCAGGTCAATGTGTGTCCAAAGCCGCTTGTCACAGCACCTGGGAGGAGTAAAGTCCAGCCAGAAGGAGACAATGGTCACTGAACTCCAGAATCATTAAGAGTTGGAAAGAATTATTTTTAATTTCTCCAAGGTGGAACCTAAATGAAAGCATCCCGGTCAGAGGATCATTCAGCCTCCACCTGGCTTGAATACACGCCCACCACTCCTCTTGCTGCTTCCATGGCTGAACTGTTTTTATAGTTAGGAACTCTGTTCTAACAATTAATTGAAATCTGCCGCCTTATAACTGAAATCCGACAGTTTGGCCCTGTAATCTGAAAAGTTTGAACTTTCTTCCAAGTGACGTCTTTTTCAAGTACTTGAAGAACGCTACGACAGCCCCACCTTTTCTGAAGGGTAACCAGACCCATATTTATCAGCCTCTCTCTGCATGGCTCACTTTCTAATCGCCTAATTTTTTATTTTTTATTTTGCTTGTTATATAGTGTGGTTTCTCCAAACTAAACACAGTGGACAAAGCAGGGTAAAAGAAAATGATTGTTTCCCATGATTCAGAAAGTATACTTCTACGAGGGCCATTCGGAAATTAACCTCCGTTTGGTTATCAATGACCGACACTCGCAGATGCAGAACTTTTATTATACACGTTAGAAAACTACAACGTCACGTTACTTTTCGACATAGGATTAGGGTTAGTACCGTGTTTCCCCCAAAATAAGACCTACCCAGAAAATAAGACCTAGTTTGATTTTTACACGTGGCCCAATATAAGCCCTACTCCCAAAATAAACCCTACTTAAGACCCCGCCCACTCCACTGCACCTGGTTGCATGAGGTGGGGTGAGGTGCACGGGTAAAAATCAAGCTAGGTTGGGGATGGGGGGCGTGGAGCTGCACCCCGCACCTGGCACCCACTTACCTTAGGACTGTTGCAGCCAGACCTCCCGTGCCCCAACACTTGCCTCACCAGCCCACTTCTTCTGCGGCTACTTGCGCGTGTCACCCCCAATCTCCATTTCGCTGTCAAGGCCTCTGCAGCGGAGAAACGAGCTCCAGATTGACACGTGTAACGTCCCACAGCCTCTTTTTCACCCTCAGAGGCCTTCCCGGACGCGGGGGGGCGGGAGCACCGTGCACGTGTCAATCTGGAACTCTTTTCTCGGCTGCAGAGGCCTTTGTGGAAGGCCTCGGATGGCAAAACGGAGGCCGGGAGTGACAAGTGTGAGTGGTGACAAATGGCTGCAGAAGAAGTGGGCCAATGAGGCTAGGCAGGTGTCGGGGTATGGGAGGCCTGGCTGTGGCGGTCCTAAGCTAAGCGGGTAAGACATCCCTCGAAAATAAGACCTGGTGCCTCTTTTGGAGGCAAGAAATATATATGTAAGACTTATTTTAGGGGAAACATGGTAGTAGTCGCTCGGCACCAAATCTGGGCTATGGGGGAGGTTTATCTAAAACAGTGGTTCTCAACCTGTGGGTCGGGACCCCATTTGGGGTCGAATGACCATTTCACGGGGGTCGCCAAACAAGGCTGTCCGCCATTTTTTCCCCCTTTTCTTTGGCCACGCCCCTGGCACCCGGTGATGTATAAATGGCTGGGTGGTCACCACAACATGTGGAACTGTATTATGGGGTCGCAGCATTAGAAAGGTTGAGAACCACTGATCTAAAATATCCTTAGCAATGTGCAGTCGAGCATTATCGTGAACCAACACCACATGGTGCCATGGAAAATGCCGCCAAATGTGAAGATGCCAAAGGAGCACTGCTAGTGAAGTTCATGGAACCTGGTTTGATCAACGATTCAGAGGTCTACTGTGAAACGTTACGAAAACTCAGATGAGACACCCATAACAAGCGTCGGGGCACGCTGACATCTGGTGTGGCATTGGTTCACGATAAAGCTCGCCTGCACACTGCTAGACCCACCCAAGAACTTTTGAAGCAGTTCCGTTGGGATGTTTTTGATCCTCCCCCCCACAGCCCAGATTTGGCACCGAGCGACTACTACTAATGAATTTCAAAGGACTCACTGGGGAAGGGCCTAATGCTGGGAAAGATTGAGGGCAATAGAAGAAGGGGACGACAGAGAATGAGGTGGCTGGATGGAGTCACGGAAGCAGTAGGCGTGAGCTTAAAGGGACTCCAGAAGATGGTAGAGGACAGGAAGGCCTGGAGGAACATTGTCCATGGGGTTGCGATGGGTCGGACACGACTCCGCAACTAACAACAACAACAAAGATGTTATGACAAGTGCCTCAATTTGAATGGCGATTACCGTATTTTTCCGTCTATAAAATGCACCCTTGTACAAGATGCTCTGGCAGGTAAGTTTCTCCGCACTAAACAGCTGAGCCGGCAAATCCGGAAGTTCAGCTGGCCGATGATCTTGCCCCCTCCCCCTCTCTTGTTAATGGCAAGCCCACAGGGGCTTGACACCTACACCAGACAGCATGGCACCCCACAAAGGCATGCTCTGGGCTGCGGAGGTTACCGTTATTTTTCCGTGTATAAGACGCTGCACTTGTATAAAGATGTATTTTTGAACAGGGTGTGTGCAGGAAAAAAATAGCGTCCTATACACAGAAAAATACGGCATGTCGAAAAATAAATGCAATGTTGTAGTTTTCTAATGTGTATAATAAAAGTTCTGTTTCTGTGAGTGTCTATCATTGATAACCAAACGGAGGTTTATTTCCGAATTGCCCTCGTACTAATGCAATCCGAAACTGCACTTCGATGTCTCATTGCTGGTTTATCTTGCAAAATCTTTTTCAGAAGTTGTGTTACCAAGCCGGAGAGTCTTCTTTCCATCCCAGTTACATTTGCTCTTTCTGAACAAAATGTAACTTATTTGGGCTAAATTTCATTCTGCTAGTTTTCAGCAGATTTGTTCCACTTATCAGGGCTGAATTTCGTTTCTCAAGGATATGGGACAGAGTCTCTTTCTTGGCTGCGTTAATTGCATTTTTATGTGATTTTAGCCAGCTGCTGCATGTTTTATTTTTTTTCTATACGCTTTTTACCTATTTTTAAATTGGTTAGCCTCCCATGCATTTGAAATGGTGATAGCAATCTAATAAAATGTACAAAGTAAATACATTAGCCATGAAAACAAAACAAAAACGTTTGCCTTGGCCCCATCAGCTACCAGGGTGTGTGGTCTCTGACATGCTGTTCATCACTGGAGGTTTTTAAGAAGAGGCTAGACAGTCACTTGTCTGAGATGGTATAAGTTATCCTGCCTGAGCAGGGGGCTGGACTAGAAGACCTCCAAGGTCCCTTCCAGATTCTATCCTATCCTATCCTATCCTATCCTATCCTATCCTATCCTATCCTATCCTATATCTCTATTCTATTCTATTCTATTCTATTCTATTCTATTCTATTCTATTCTATTCTATTCTATTCTATTCTATTCTATTCTATTCTATTCTATTCTATTCTATTCCATTCCATTCCATTCCATTCCATTCTACTCTAATTCTATTCTACTCTACTGTACATGCAAACAGAGCCCTCTGCATAAAAGTTGGGTATCCCTATATTCCAGCTTTGGTTCATTGATAGCCATACTATATTCTGAGGAAGCACAAAGTTATTCAGAAGCAGGTACATAAAAGATTGCCTTTATCTATGTACAACGCTTTTGAGCTCAGTTGGAGCATGTAGAGATTAGCCTTCAACCCTGACATGCTGTCTGAACCTGATAGTTTTTCAATATGGAGAACTCATTCCATACAAAAATGGTGGTGCATGAATAAGTGTTGATTTCCTGGTATTTAGGGAGGACACTGAGGATCACACGGGACAGGATGCACAAAACAGCTCAGTGAGTAGCTGCCGATATATAGAGTGCAGGACTCCCTGGTGCATGCACATAAATTGTACCTCCGCAACCGCCACGTTAATTGCCATGACAAGTTTTTAATGCTGCAGGATCCAATCTGGGTCGGTCACCGGGATCAGAGGTTTAGTCCTCTGAGATTTTGGACACATTCTGGAGCCCATCCCCAGGGAACGTCTCTCTCCCCTTCTGTTTAATCAAAGATGAGCTCAAGCAGGAGTCCGAAAGCTCGGAAGACTAGACGTCTGCTCCCGGTGACTGACCCAGATTGGATCCTGCAGCATTATCCTGGGACACGTGTATTGGCCTCCATTTGTGAGTTTTTAAGGCCGTTAACTTGTTGGCCTCATCGTGGATTCCTGGGCATGCAACACTTGTTGTTTTTCTCTCTCCCCTCCTCTGCATCCAGACAATCTGCTTGTTGAACCAGAGGCTCCCATCTTGCTGGAAGGAGGGCTGGCCAAAGAAAGTGGACCAAGACAGCTCTGAGGTCCGACGTTTGTGGCAAGGAAGTGGGCCAGGAGGCAGCCATCAAATTTTATCCCCTATTAATCCAACCACAAAACCCCCCCCCGTGTTTCCCCCCCCCCTCTAGGTTGCCAGGCCACCTCTTTTGCTCGCTAGCCCGTCCGTCCGCCCGCCCGCTCACTCACCAACGGCTCCATGTCCGGCACACCCTCATGCAAACGCAAAGCTCCCGATAGCTGAGGTACTGGAAGACGGCCAACCAAATGTCCCGCTGCATGATGTGGTCAGAGCCGCTGTCCAAGGGCAGGGAGTCAGGTTCAGGGCTGTCTGGGGGAGGCCGGATGACGTGCCTCTCCAGCTGTAGCAGAGGCTTGGGAGGGGACGGCACCAAAGGCCAGTTAAGAAACTGAGTCCGGGCTACCATGCGGAGCCCTGTCTGTCCAGCAGGCCGGCCGGCTTTCCGGCTTCCCGCCTGCTGCTTGGCCCGTTCGCTCCCCCTGCTGGACGGGCGGTGATTGTTCTCTTTCTCCTGAGAGTTCCCCCGAGCTTTGGGCTGCTTCCCGTTCCGTGTCGTCTCTGAGCCGCCGTTGCGCCGCCCACCCTCCTCTTCGTCGTCCTCCTCCTCCTCCTCCTCGTCCTCCTCCTCCTCGCTGGCACTGAAGCCCAGGGCAGCCAAGCGCTGCGAACGGGTGGTGGGGGAGTTGGCTCGGCTCGACACCCCTCCGCTGGAACCGTCGGAGCCCCGAGAATCCGTGTCAGAATCCGAGTCCGAACTGGAACTGGAACTGCTGCTATTCTTCACCCGCTCCAACATCTGGCACATCTGCTTGAAGCGCTCCAACTTCTCCCGCTGATGGGACTTGTCTGTCTGGGGGGAGGGCTCCAAAGGCCCAGGAGTTCCCTTTGGTTTCTGGCAGGAAAGAAAGAGTTGGGGGGGGGGGTTTGAAAGATTTCATAACCGACTAAACACAGGGGGTCCTCGACTTACATCTGCTCAATTAGCCATCCTTCAAAGTTAAAAACAAAAGGCACTGATACAAGTGACAGGTGACTGTTTTTCACGCTTACGACCGGCGCAACATCCCCAGGGTCACGCGACGCAAATCCAGACGCTTGGCAACTGACTCATATTTATGACGGCTGCAAGGTTCGGGGGGGGGGGGGTCCTGCAATCAGCTTTTGCGACCTTCTGACAAACACAGTCAATGGGGAAGCCGGATTCACTTAAAACAGTGTTTCTCAACCTTGACAATTTTAAGGCATGTGGACTTCAACTCCCAGAATTCCACAGCCAGCATTGCTGGCTGTGGAATTCTGGGAGTTGAAGTCCACATGCCTTAAAATTGTCAAGGTTGAGAAACACTGACTTAAAACAACCGTGTTACGGACTGAACAACTGCAGTGATTCACTGAACAACCGCTGCAAGCAAGGCTGTAACGTGAGGCAAAACTCACTGAACAACTATCTCACGTCGCGAGAGGAATTTGGGGTCCAAAGTTGAGGACCGCCTGTTAACTGCTTAATTTGGCTTTTTTTGCAACTTCATCTCTTCCTCGCGGCTGACAGAATCGGTGTCTCTCCTCAACTAAGACAGCTACAGCCATCTTGGGAGGAGTGGGGAAGAGGACAGCAGCAGGACAGGGAAACAACCTGTAATGTCTTAAAAATCTTCCTTCTGAATGTTTTTGTCTTTAAAATAGTCAGCAACATTAAAACTAGAAATTTGGGCTCTTAACATGAGGTATCTTTAGGATACCTTTTACCTGTTCATATAAGGCAAGACAAGAAGCAACGGATGGAAACTAATCAAAGAGAGAAGCAACCTAGAACTAAGGAGAAACTTCCTGACAGTTAGAACAATTAACCAATGGAACAACCTGCCACCAGAAGCGGTGAATGCTCCAATCCTGGAAGTTTTTAAGAAGAGACTGGACAGCCATTTGCCCGAAATGGTAAAGGGTTTCCTGCCTGAGCAGGGGGTTGGACTTGATGATCTCCAAGGTCTCTTCCAATTTTTATTATTATTATTATGGATCATCGCACAGTCAGCCAGATGTTCAGACTGGATTTGGCATTTTGTCTACCTATTGAGTCCTTACCCAGGACCTGGGATAGGCAGATGTGGATGTTTGATGGTATTACAGGTATCGTCGCAGGATGGAAGCAGTTCCTAGTAAGGCCGCCTTTTGCAATTGACTAATAGCGAATTTGTCAATGCCAATGGTGTTCAAGTGGTGTTCCAGTTTTTTTGGTATTATTATTATTAAACCACACGCCCCTTCCCAAGAAAAGATGAAAAAGACAATACCATCGCACGCCAGTCAAGCCTTATACACACTCCCTTTGATTTTTAGGTTGGCAGGACAGCCGGATATCAATGCATTTTATAAATAAAATTTTTCCAGCATGAGAAAGCATCCTTCAGTCGGTTCTCTAAATATGCTAACCACAGTTCACGGCTAGATAGTCAAGGTTACAATGAATGTGTTATCTATGGGCTTTGCCAAGCAAAAAGCATTTTGAAATTCCGATTGGTCAGATCTGTAAGGGGAACATATGGCAGAAAAGTAAAATAAAGATAACCATGAAATAAACAAAAACCGCCTGCAATTCCCCAGAGCTCAACTTTTCAGAAGCAGGAGGCAATTGTTAAAGCCAACAACAGACATGAAGGCCAAGAACTGGGCTTTTAGAAAATGTTTTTTTTTTTTATGTTATGGCCTCCTTGAAGGGTTTATTATGGTAGAGAAATTACAAATCGAAAGCATGCACAATCATGCCGTTCTCCTATAGACCCAAAAAAATATTTTGCTGTTTTAGTGGAGCGTTGTATGCTACTCAGAGACCCTTCCTGTGAGATGGGCAGCCATATAAATTTGATTAAAAATCAAAATAAAGAGGCTTCTATCCTTGATGGCCTCCAAGAAGGAGAGCATTTCTTTTCCTTCTGCTGCCATCTATGCCCACTTGAGGTCATTCAGCAGGATGCTGGTCAGATCCTGAGAAAGGGGCTCATTACTTCCACAATGGCTAGGGCAGAGGTAGGCAACCTTGGCTCTTTTATGACTCGTGGACTTCAACTCCCAGAATTCCTGAGCCAGCCACGCTGAGGGGAAAGGGAGAGGTTTCCAAGCTGAGCCATGTTGGCTCAGGAATTCTGGGAGTTGAAGTCCACGAGTCATAAAAGAGCCAAGGTTGCCTACCCCTGGACTAGGGCTATGAGTGGTCCTTGTACATGACTACAACTCCTTCTACAAGCCCAAGAAAAGTGGGGCGGAGCATGAAAAACCGACACCCACTGAAAACTAACTAAGCCACAGATATACATATCTAAATCCCCCTTCTAGTTTCTTGCTCAGAACGCAGTGTGCGAAAGCACGGTGGAAACACCGGAACCAGGGGATGTGACTCTTGTGTAGTTACTGGAATCAACCTTGCACTCGTAACAGATTGGTTACCAGCGGCTCCCAACCTTTTCTATACTCCACGCCTCTAGAACGCTTCTGAGATATTCTCGCGCCCCTTAACAAAAGTTCAAAATAACGGCAACTGATTATGCACATACACTATCATTTTGAAAAGCCAAGTTTTCACACTCCCTGGAATATCGTCTTGCACCCCCGGTTGGGTCAGGGGTAGGCAAGCTTGGCTCTTTTATGACTGGTGGACTTCAACTCCCAGAGTTCCTGAGCCAACACGGCTCAGCTTGGAAACCTCTCCATTTCTCCTCAACATGGCTGGCTCAGGAATTCTGGGAGTTGAAGTCCACGAGTCATAAAAGAGCCAAGGTTGCCTAACCCTGCCCTGAGTTAAACACACCACAGCTGGATGGGTTCATACAACAGATTCAGCCACAAACCAGAAGTGGGCAGCCACAGCCTTCAAACCCATATACTCATGTGGGAAACTCGTGCAGACCAGTGCGATGCCTTGAAAGACTGCCAGCAAGGTAAAAAAAAAAAAAAAAAAAAAAAAAAAAAAAAAACGACAAACAAAATCTCCCAAATTTCCTTCCCAAATTAGGTGGACGTGAATAAAGTGGATTCACCCACTTTGTTTCTGTCTCACACACACAAACATGCATGCACACACCCCAAGGCTAAGCACAGCCCTCGGCCACCAAAGGATTGCCTGCCATGCCCACAATGATAACTGATAAAACAGATGTCAATGCTACAAATACTGTATATTCTTGCTTTGACAACAGAATAGCTGGGTTCCCCTAAGAGACTAAGAGTCCAAGGCAGTGATGGCGAACCTTTTAGAGACCGAGTGCCCCAAAACCTCCCCCCCACCCCCATCCCCACTCCGCCCTGCCCGCTAGACCACGCACCATCTCCACGGCCTGCCACAGATCACCCAGGCAGCCTAGCAGCACCATGGTGGCCACGCCCTCCGCCCATGCCCCGCAGCAGCATCTGCATGCGATGGGGCGCAAGGGCGGAGTCTTGTCCCCACTGCTCGGCTACCATGTTCTTGGCTGCGCTGCTTCAAATGGGCTGCGCCTGGGGGCAGCTCTCCTCTGGGGAGGGGGGCTGCTGGCGAGGAGGGGGCCGTGGGAGGAGGCGGGACTGGAGCAGTGGTGTGTGTGTGTCCACAGAGAGGGCTCCGAGTGCCACCTCTGGCACGCGTGCCATAGGTTCGCCACCCCTATCATAAGGCAAGACTAAGTATAACCCCTGGTGTAGTTAGCACGGTGACTTCGGAGAATCAGAAAGTGGCAATAGTAGCGCCAAGACCGCAAATTAGGATGTGGCCATGTGATCTCAATGGGTTCGCCACCACTGGTCAAAGGCAAGCAATGGGACTCAACAAAACTAAGCAGAATCACAAAACAGGCCTGAAAAGGAAATAGCTCCCCTGCCATGCCAACCCCAGGGCAAGGACGAGGAGTAAACAGAGGGCAACGCTGAGCAGAGACCATCAGCATAGAAAATAAACCTTTGAGGGGGGGGTTTCAAATGCACACTCTTACATGGTACAAGATAAGGTGAACCCAAGGTCACAGGAAACAAACAGTGAAGGTTTCCCAGCTTGGCAGCCAAGTGGTCATGTGTAAGGAGGGAAGGGGGCAATTTGGAAGAACACAAGTGGCCCACGTCTGCACTTTCCACTGTTCCCCTGCAGCCCATGTGTCAACGCTGCTAATATTGAATATTCTTGCTTTGACAAAATATGCAGAACTGTTATGTCCAAATATTTCCTTTCTGGTGGCGTGGTCAAGCAGCTGAGCTGTATCCCCCCCCCTTCTTTAGAAGCTATTCAGATTAAAATCTTAAAAGTTATGAATCACTGCAATTAAACTAACTAAAACTACAGATGGCTTTCATAAATTTTTACCTAGTTACCTGACTTGCTATGCCAATGCAAAATGAGCTAGATCAGTAGTGGCAAACCTATGGCATGCGTGCCAGAGGCGGCACTCGGAGCCCTCTCTGTGGGCACACGTGCCGTTGCCTCAGCCTTGCCTCCCCTCCCAGACCCCCTCCTCACCAGCAGCCCCCCTGAAGGAGAGTTGCCCCCGAGTGTGGCTCACACGGAGTAGCGCAGCCAAGGACATGGCAGCCAAGCAGCGTAGACAAGACTCTGCCCTCACACCCCATCAGGCACAGTTGATGCTGCTGGGCACGGGCAGAGGGCGTGGCCGCCATAGCGCTGCTGGGCTGTCTGGGCGATCTGTGGTGGGCCCTGGAGGCGGTGAGTGGCCCTGCAGGCAGGTGGGATGGGGGCGGGGCCAGTATTGGGGCATTTGATCTCTAAAAGGTTTGCCATCACTGAGCTAGATTGTGACTTACAGCAGGGGTCCCCAACCCCTCGGCTGAGAACCCGCACCAGCTCACAACATGCCAGAAACTGACCTAAGCAAACAAGCAAAGCCCCATCCATGCATGCTCGGGGTGCAGGCAACACGCGAAAACACACCCTCTCCAGTCCGTGAAAAAAAGCTCTCGTCACGCAACCGATCCCTGGCGCCCCAAAGATTGGGGACTGCTGGCCTAGAGCGCTGTGTGAATGCAGCCAAGCTGTCTTGCCCCAGATTTGCCAAGGTCTTAACTAAGGGCACAATTTGTGCCTGGGGTGTGAGCCGGTCGCCTCCCTCCCTCCCTCCCTGCTCACCTCTAAGTCGCTGGCTGTGATCTGGCTCAGGTGAATAGACGGGTGGGAGATGGCCCCCTTCACCTCGAAGTCACCGCTGCCCATGCGGCTCCAGGTCTGTATGGAATCCAATTTGTTTCCATCGAGTGGTTGCTCAGCGCCCTGAAAAACACACATGCACAAATGAAACAGGCTTGTGGGGGGAAGATGAAGACGAAGACGAAGAAAATGAAGAAGACGAAGAAGAAGAAGAAGCAAGTGACAAGATGAGCGAGAGGCGCTAGTCAGCTTCTTTCACGCAGCTTTTTTTTTTTTTTTTTTTTTAAAGAGCACCGTGTTCCATCTACCGCTTGGCAAAGCTAGACACAGCAGCTGCCTGCAAAGGTGGCCAGGACGGAGTCGGGGGACCCCCGATGGCCCTCGGGGGTTGTGAAAATGGCTTCTGATACTGGCGCCCAAATAAAAAGACATCTTTTGATGACTCAGCTCTTGGGACAAGGACCCACGTTTCACAAGAATTGGCCACGAGATGTCAGCCATTACTTAATAAATAAGTAAGTAAATAGGATTGGGAGTGGGGGAGCTTGTGGATGCCCTGAGGGTAAATATCACTCTGGCAAGGATCTGCCTGGAGAAGGCTGAGAACCACATTGTACTGCAATCTTCCTCAGCTTCCAAACAGACTTAATTCCCGCTCTTATTAGGCCCAGCAAGATCAGGCCCTGAACAATGCGTAAGCGCAAAGCTAACGAATGTCATCTAAGCACACCCTGTGCAGGTGGTCCTCAGTTTATGGCCACTTGTTTAGTGATCGAAGTTACAATGGCCCTTTTAAAAAAGGGACTTTTCACACAGACAAGGGTGGCAGCATCCTTGTGGTCACATGATCAGAATTCGGACACTTGGCAACTGGCATGTATGCATTAACAGTGGCGGTGTCCTGTTAGCATGTGCGGAAATGGACAGGCTCACAATGATATTAAAAGACAAATGTGGATCAGTTTATTATGAAACCTGGGATACATTTTATCGCTGGAGGAATTTGAAGAGGACGGTCGGGATTAAAGATGAATGTTAAGATAGAAATATATGTTATTTTAGAACAAGTATTATATATAAAACTTAGATGTATATGTAGAGATGAAGAATTGATTGTAAAAAGTGAAATAATTTGACAAGAATGTATATACTGGAATGTCACGTTAAATCCAATGTTTGTTTTTAACTGTATTATAAATAAAATTTGTAAATAAAAAAAAAAAAACAGTGGCGGTGTCCTGGGAGGGGGTGTGTGTGTCACACAATCCCCTTTTGCGATCTTCTGACAAGCAAAAGTCGGTGGGGAAACCAGATTCACTTAACAACCGTGTTACTGACGACTGCAGTGATTCACTTAACAACTGTGGCAAGGAAAGTTGTAAAATGGGGGCAAAACTCATTTAACGACGGTCTTGCTTAGGAATGGAAAATTCGGGCTCAATTGTAGTCGTAAGTTGAGGACTGCCTGTACAGACAGTCTTGTGAGCCACCCTGGTGGAGGACAGAGGGATCCCCAGAAGGGTCCATGACCTGCCTGGCTCTTATATCAGGGAAATTCTTCCTTTTCTTTCTTTTTTTTTTTAAGTTCCCCCGTGACATCTTATCCAAGGGCCCTTCTTGCATTATAAAATCCAGCCAGGTGAGAAAAAAAAACTAAACCACTCACCTTTTTCAAATGTTTTTCCCGGGTACCTTTTAACTGGAAAGAGAAAGAAAGAAAGAACAAATGTGAGAATTGTAGACCAGAGCCTGTTACTTAAAGTAACCTCTTCCGTTATCAAAAGTAAGGAATTTGGGGTTGAGAATATTGAAAAAAAAGTGGAGAGCCAAATTAAGCCCTTAAAAAGTTTAGAGATCCAGAATGTTTTCTCACTGGCTAGGGAATTCTTAAAAAGTCCACGAGCCCTTCAAGTTGCCAAGTTGGACCCTCCTGATTTTGTACACAGGCAAAAGAAGTGTGACTCGCTAACACATTTTTTTTTTTTTGGAGTTGTCAGACTTTCCCAGAATGAAAGTGGGCAAAACGACCTGGAGCACTGGGATCCTAGTCTCACCATTTCTGTTGGGACTGTGACCCTCAGCATGCTGCACAAAAGCCCAGGATGGCTCTCAAATCCACAGCATTTAACATATCCATAATCCAGAGATTCAGACCTTTAAGACTGGAGTGGAAAGAGGTGTAGTTTGTACAGGAAATGCAAACTGGGATAGAGGCGGAAAGTCATAAGGCAGTGATGGCGAACCTTTTAGAGACCGAGTGCCCCAAAACCAGCCCCTCCCTGCTATCCCCGCCCCGGGCCACTCCACCCCCGCCCGCAGGGCCACCGATCGCCTCTACGGCCTGCCGCAGATCACCCAGGCGGCCCAGCAGTGCTATGGCAGCCACGCCTTCCACCTGCGCCCCGCAGCATCAACTGTGCGCGACAGGGTGCGAGGGTGGAGTCATGTCCTTGCTGCCTGGCTGCCATGTCCTTGGCTGCACTGCTCCGCATGGGCCATGCTCGGAGGCGACTCTCCTCCAGGGGGGGGGCTGCTGGTGAAGAGGGGGCCGTGGGGGGAGGTGGGGCTGGAGCGATGGTGCGCATGCCCACAGAGAGGGTTCTGAGTGCCGCCTCTGGCACGCGTGCCATAGGTTCGCCACCCCTGTCATAAGGCAAGACTAAGTATAACCCCTGGTGTAGTTAGCACGGTGACGTCAGAGAATCAGAAAGTGGCAATAGTAGCGTCAAGACCGCAAATTAGGATGTGGCCATGTGATCTCAATGGGTATGGATCCATGATCACATGGAAGACCAGCCATGCTCCCTGACAGCATCAGGTGACCCACCGAGGTGAGGTCAGAAAAACTGAGTAGCCAAGAGGCCCAAACATCATTTATTAACAGTTATTTGTAGGCTGCGTATTCAGTTTGCAGTAAAACAACAGAAGCATTGCTAAAGCCATTTAACAACCAACCCCGTAACAACTTCTGTTGCCCAAGCCAACAGCTCCCCCAACAAATATGCTATCCACCCTCCCAAAAGACCTTGCAGAGAAGCATAACCTTGACTGCTTTGCTAGTTAACTGTCTCAGTTAGAACAGAGAAGGGAAAACAACTGAATTGGGATCAAGTAACAGATGTCAAGAACTTTCGAAAGGGAAGTGGAGTAGACACAACAATGATAAAAAAATTGACATCATTAGGAGGCATAAGGGTGTTTGGAGACAAAGGGACAAAGCCTCATAGTATTGGCCCAGAAGCCTATCAGGCACAGATCTGACGGGTTAAAAAAAAAAAAGTGGTGGATTTTTGGACTACATGGGAAAAGAGGGGCAGAGTTGAAGAGAGCTAAACAGATCAAACAAAATTACTTTGCCATAATGAAGAATTAAGTGAGTGGAAAAGGCTACCACAAAATGCAGTGAAGATTGTCAAACTGAGGTGAAGTGACTGGATATCCGTGTTGTACGTTGAGTCTATCAAGCACATTCCTGATGACTGTTTTTATACCCCCCTTGTAAATCTGCTGAGATCATCTAGCTCAAGGG